TGATAATGATATAAATGCTTTTGAACTTATATTGCACATGCAAGTGAGCTTGGGGTGGAAGATACCCCTTGTCTTACTGAGATTTCTAGTTTAGAGATCTCAGCCCACGTTTGGGGAATGCTTATTTCAGGGTCAGGTAATGTTGAGACCTCAGGCGGCAGGAGGCCGGAGCTGAGTTAGATTGCTGTTATATTATGCTGCCATGATTGGATGCTGGATTTGCATGCGGTTTATATGCTTATAGCTTAAGTTTATGTTTTGGAGTTTGATGTTGAGACTTGTTGTTTACTATGTTTATTTGGTGAGCATGGGGATTGCCCATGACACATAGTATTATTATGTCTTGATTATGTCTTGAGTCTTTTGGAGTTGTAATAATGTATCAGGATATTGTCCGGATTACATGATGTAATGCCGTGATTTAGATACACACTTTATCTATATATTGAGGTATTTCAGTAGATGTCTTATTGCAATTTACATACAGGTGATATTTTATGAAATTTATTAAGTAATCAAGTTGGTAACTGATAATGACGTCATAATTGAAAAGAAAAAGAATATTCTGCATTTTTTTATTAAGCACCGCTTAATACGATGTAATGTTAATATTTCGAGTATACACGGGGTGTTACACTCATCTTCTCTCTCTGCTGGTCGACAGCCTTGGAAGGGGCTTAGGTCCAAGTTTCTTTCTCTTTTGCTTTCTCACTCAAATAGCCACCAAAACACAAAGTGTCATACATGAAAGTTTAAGTAAAAATCGTGGTGAATCCATTCCACCCATTTGTTTTGGCTAAAAAAGCTTGTGTGAGGAGCTCTCTCCTTCTCAAATTTCGACCACTAATCATCATAGAGAGAGAAGTGGATTTTTGGGTGGAACCAAGCTTAGGTTTTGTTCTCCAAGCCTTGTATAGGTGATTTGAGATAAGAGATCATTATTTAAATGGTTTAAATGTCATGATTTAAGTTTTGAATATTATGAGCATATGTTATGGAATATTATTGAGTTGAAAAATTGAAATTATGATGGATTAGTGTTGTTAATCAAGTTAGGATGTGAAATAAGCATGAACATGTGTTTAAAGTTTGAAAAATTCTCTTGAATCCCTCCCACTAAGTTCAACCATGGTGTGAAAAATTAGGGTTTAATGTTCAAAAAATAATTGGACACTTTGTGAAGGTTTATATGTATATGTAAGTTGTGAATTGAGTGGATTAATTGAATGACGCTTAGTGGGGTCTTATGTTTTGAGGCATAAATGGATGAATTAATGTGTAAAAAGGGTTTTATTACCTAATGATTATTATGGTTGTATGATAAGCTTGAATTTGATGGACTAAAGCATTGGAATCATGAAATTGGCATGATTTCCTTTGTGCGCCTCTTAGCCATTTACAAAGGAAGTATGTTTTTAGAGTGCTTGTTTGTGCTAATGAGTACTTATATGGCCTAAGAACTATATAATTAGATGTTTAAACCTTTGATTGGGTTAGATAAAAAGAAAAATGAGTAAGTTCCTTCGTTAGGTCTTATATCATTTTATTGAGTTTTGTGTTGAATTCCTTCTCTAGGTGTGCCTAGGGACTTTGAACGTTTGGACTCCCGGGGAGCAAGATAAGTATCTTGTTCTTCAATTAAGAAAATTGTAAAGCTCCAAGAGGTAAGCTCTATGTTTAAGGAGTCTTTTTCTGCTTGAGTGCTCCACTATGGTGAGTGGACTATGGTTGGATTGTATGATTGTATTTGATGCTTTGTATAGATTCATTCATATAGAGCTATTTGATAACATGATATGATTTGTTCTGATGTGATTTCTGTATTGATCTTTGGCCATTGATTTGTTTGTGCACTGGTTTCTGCTTGGGGTCCTCCCTTGGGATTGACTGTGTACACCTCTGATATGTTCTAGTTCCGCTTCGGATCCTCCCTTGGAAACACATGCATTGAATTCTGCTCGGGGCCCTCCCTTGGGAATGACTGTGTACGCCTCTGATAAAATATGTATATATGTTTTGTTCTGTTATGATATATGTTATATGATGTTTTGTATACTCTGTATCTGACTCTCATACAAGAGTGGGCCGGGGGTATGGAGAATTCTCTATAAACCTGGAGCTTATTGAGATTTGTTATCTCACCCCGTTTGGGGACATCATTTCAGGTGCACAGATTGCCGGTGAGCCTACACGGGGCAAGGATACAACCCCTGGACAGAGTGCTTCGCGGACTGGATTTTTGGGTAGCAGTATGCTACTACTATTTTGAGGATTGTTCATATGTTTCAGTATTCCATTCATTTTGAGGATCATGATGTCTGATCCGTTTTTCTGTATATGGCCTGTATATGTTTTGTACATGTTTTCCGCTTTGATGCATGTACATCTGGGTATTCAGGCATATTTATTTTATGATGTTGTATTCAGTTATATGATTACCTGTTGGATTTGCATGCTGTTAGGCATAGTGGCACAAAGCCAAGTTATGCATGCGTCTATGGATGGGTATATGGTCCTATATGGATATCTGGTATCTCTGAAATCATGTATTGTATAAACTGTTTATCAGGACACCTTGAGAGTGGGATTTGCAAATCCCCGTTTGTCCGATTTACAAACGTCACTCTGTCCGATTTTCGTCTCCGACAAATAAGAATTAGACTAGAAGAAGTATGCAATGTGATATATCATGTGAAAGGGATAAAAGAAAAAGTTAGCTCGTATTTTCGTAAATTTAGTCTTCTGTTGTTTCTGTTAAGTATCATACGTATGTTAATTGAACCGGCTCGAGACGAGGATGTTATAGGTGTCCATGTACTTTTGTCCTTTTTCTTCATAAAACCAAGGGAAGAATTAATTAATATCAATGCTCATTGCCAACACAAGGTTGAATTGGCATGAGAAAAGTGACAAAATCTACAACTTTTTTTTTTTTGGGTACATAAATCTACAACTTTTACCTATACAATTGTATGAACCTTTTACTCTCCATGCATGCTAGAACTTAAGTATAATTCGTAAAGAATGCATAGAATCTAGAAACAAGGTTAAACAGAGCAACAACCATTAAGAAATTAACAACCATTGAGATAAGGGAAATTCCCTCTCAATTTGTGTGATCAACAACCTCATGTTATGTTATAGACTAATCAAATTTTGTGCATTTTTTTAATGGTGGGCTCCACCGTTTGTTATATCTGTAGAAAATAGGAAACTTCTCCTATTGCGAGAAAAGTTATAACCCCATATATATATATATATATATATATATATATATATATATATATATATATATATTAATAACTTAGCTGTGTTTTGAATTGTTTAATATAAAAGTTTGTATGCCTTTATATTTTAAACTTATGTCCTCATGCATTACTCATGTTCATTTTCTCATTCTCCCTTTATGATGTTGCAAGGGAAAAAACAGATGTCAAAAGTACGAGGACATCCCAAGACTAACACCCTAAATAATTTGTGACCAAATCCTCTTGAATGAGATGTCATTGCATATATATCAAAAAGTTATATAGAATAAAAAAAGTACTTGATTTGAATATCCGAGTCAAAAATTATGACCTTCCGACCATCAAATTATTGATCTTTTTATGCCACGTGTCACTATGTGAATGGTGCTGGGTCTTGCCCAAATTACGCAAGACCAGTCACGCCTTTTCTAGAAGTGTTCTAGTAGGGTGAGGCGCTTTTTTTGGACGGGAGTGATCTCGCCCATTTTAAACGTGTCTGAGTACAATATATTAATTAGGGGGAGGCGCCTTTTCTATGTTTTCTAACTTGTTATTTATATTACAATATATTAATTTTTTATTTTTTTTTGCTGAATGTTTCTCTTGCAAAGTTAAAGATAACACAGGTCCCACCCATTCTCCAATGTTCACAAAAATAACTTTATCTCGAGCTTGTATGAGAAACAATAAACCATAGAGAGATATCACTTTTTAATACCTCTCAACTTCCTTCACAAGTAAAGTTTACCAATTTCATTCTTCAAAATTATAATCTTCTACAATATGGAAAACGCCATTTCATTACATTTCCGACTAAAACAGGACTGGTAGCTGTATAAACAGTTCACAATAGTAACTTCCAATGGCACTATCACCATACAATTGATGGAAAGACCAGATTGTTGGGAATTTTTGAGATACGAAATTAATAAAATTCATGTTACACACATAATTGATTAAGGTTATATCTGATTGAAACTTCACTAAAAGTATAAACTATTTGTGGTCTAAACTGTGGACAAACTTTTGGAGTTGTTGGTTACTAACACATAAAAGCCTCGTTAACAAAGTGGTAAGTATATTCTCCTTTTCATTTCTGGTTCTGTTAGATTAAATTATTTTTCACTATGGTGGGTTTGTTCATTTTAAGTTCAAATATCTTCAGATAGAGGCCCATGTTGAAGATAAAAATCAGTTATAAGTATAACTGAATCATTGGTTCTTTGCATTATGTGTTTTAGTGCTTGCAAAAGGTTCCTCTTTATTCTGCTATTTTGGTAACATAATATTACACTTTGTCCTTTTATTAGTAACTGTGTTGCTTCCTTTGTTATACAAAAGCACAATCTAGCATGCGCCAATTAGCCCCACTATGCCCTTATTCTGAAAATGATACTAGTGCCCAGTGATTTATTTTCCATTGGTTGGACATAATTTGTGTCACTTTGATGTCAATATATATAGAGTTTAACGTCTCTTATGTTGTAGGAAATAAAATTATCTCCTACACACATAAAAGTGTGTGGGGTTCATATTTTCTTTTTCTGTCTCTTCTCTTCATATAACCCCCCATGGGCCTCATATTTTTATGTGTATGTAGGAGATAATTTTATCTCTTAAAACACAAAAAAGATCAAACCCATATATATAAAGCATACATAAAGGCAATGCCATATTGAGTTCAAAAACTCTATATATTGAACAAGTTTCCTTGTTTTTAGGTCATTCAAAGTTGGCAAGAAGTAGCACAAAATGAAGAGTTTTCTAGGCTGTATAGCGATCTTGGAGAAAAATAAAACTTATGTTGCAATGCTCTTCATTCAGTTTATATATGCAGGATTGGCTTTGTTGTCTAAGGCAGCAATTTCCAAGGGAATGAACCCTTATGTGTTTGTTGTTTATCGACAAGCTTTTGCATCACTTGCCTTATCTCCATTTGCTTTCTTTGACAGGTTCTCAATATAGTTCATTTACATTCACACCCTTTCCCTCCCCTTTTACTAAATCCTTATTATAACTTTGCTTAACAAATTCATTTGTTCTTTAATATTTGCACTTTTTGCAGTAAGCATGCTGCTCCATTGTCATGCAACTTATTGTGCAAATTGTTTCTAGTTTCCCTAGTTGGGTATGGATGTCTCTTTCTTGACCCCATTACTTGTTTAGCATTGTTCATACAAAGATTGAAGTGAAAATTCTAAATTATACTCTTTGATAGTGACATAATCATATTCTAATGAACCTTTATATATGTGCCTAAATGTATAGGTTAACAGCAAGTTCAAACCTTTACTATGTTGCAATCAACTATACCTCTGCAACATTTGCTGCAGCCTCCACAAATACAGTCCCTGCTATTACTTTTATCATGGCTGTTTTAATTAGGTAAATGATATATAACCATTTAATTAAGGTATAATGAATATACCTAGAGAATTCCTAGTTTTGATCTAATGAAAATGGTTTTGGAAATTTTAAGGGTGGAAAGCATTTCCATAAAAAATCTGCATGGGGTTGCCAAGATTTTGGGTTCTGTTCTAAGCCTTTCTGGGGCAATAACATTTGCTTTAGTCAAAGGACCTCCTTTAGATTTCATAAGGTGGAATCCAGAAGACCAAAAGCATGTTTCTCACCCATTAACAACAGTTCACTCCAAAGGGAATAGTATTAGAGGCTCTCTTATGATGCTCTCAGCAAACACTACTTGGTCCTTATGGCTTATTTTGCAGGTATTTATCTCGTTGCTCTGTCCCTCATATTGATTCATATATATGATGGATAATATATATGATTCACTTTTTACCATAAAGTATTTGGCTTCATCTAAAAATTTTCACTAATATACTTGTCTCAGGGATTTATTGTAAAGCAATACCCAGCAAAATTTCGTCTCACTGCTCTACAATGCTTCTTTAGCTTCATACAGTCAGCTATTTTGGCTGTTGCAATGGAGAGCAATCCTTCAGCATGGAGGCTTGGATGGGATATTCATCTTCTTTCAGTGGCATACTGTGTATGTTTATATTATAATCTAATGTTTGCACCCATATCCTGTACATCAATCTTGAATTATAATGTCAATTAGAAATTACAAGTTAAAATGTTAAGAAATCTAAAATCCTAGTCAATGGGTATAGGTGCAAATGTAGTAAATATGTCTCTAAGGGGGGCGTTTGGTTGGAAATTTTTTTGGAATAGTAGGAAAATGTAATAGATAGAGAAATGATTGGAAAGATAGATAAAGTGAGATAGGTATAAAAATGTAAAAAAAAAGTTGTTTGGTGGGGAAAAACTTTATTGAGAAAATTAGGTAACTTTATGAAATCAACAGTGCATTAAAAGCCAGGTAACTGGTTTTTCGAAAAATCTCACATTTAAATTGGGTTTCTAAACAGTGCGAATATCTATGTTTCTCATAAATCCATACAAATTGGATAGATGGGTTTTTGATAAAAATACGTTGAAACAAACATGGTGTTTCTAAAAGCCATACTTGAGAAACATAGATATCCGCTGAAAAGCTCCCAACCAAACACCACCTAAAAGGATAAACTCTGGTGTACAAGGTTCCCAACTTGCGAGAGTAGAGGTGAGAGTTGATTATATACAGCTTTACTCTTATATTTTTGTAAAGAAACTATTTTTTAGATTCGAATAATTGATCTTTTAGTTATAAATAATAACTTTACCATTGCTCCAAAGCTCCCCTCTAATAAAATATCTTTGCACGAAAAATTGTGCTTGTGCTTAAAGAATATTACTAAAATTTGAACATTTTGTCAAGAGAAGTTTGATGTCATTAAAAAATTAGAGAAGTTGTGTTATTTTTTGTACCTTAAAATAAAGTATGTTTCTTTATAGAGATTTGTTTGTCTGTTTGGAGTCTTGATATCTTGAAGGGAACCTGAATTGGTATTGAATATTGATCTTTTGCTTAGACCATGATAAACTTGGAATCGTACCAAGTGCTCTATCTTCTTGAAATAAGGCTTAGTGGAAATCATTTTGGTCCAAATGTGGTTGCATTTCTCTTCTAGGAGATAGGAGAATGTCATATTCACAGACAACTGTTTTCAATCATCTTATAGTAATTATGACAGGAAAATGATGCCCCCAGTCACATCATATGAGAACTCCGTTGAAATATAAGATCTTAATGGACCACATTTCAATTATAACCAATTCTTATTCAGCACAAAAGTTAAAATCATTTCTTGTTCAACAGAAAAGACACAACCAATTCTTTTGAGTTAGCATGTATCTTAACAAAAATGATTACATGATTATGACTAAATTAGGTACATTCACACGCTTTTCCACACTAATCTCATATCCCCTGCCTTCTAATTCATATACTTGTTGGCTTTTATGTCTTTTAACTTTATGCAGTAATCAACATCTTTGTAACTTATGGCTTTCATCTTAAAGAGCTCCTAAGCATAATTAGATAGGAAAATGTTAGTAACATAATTTTTTTTAATATCCTTTTTTCCAGCACACTTTATTATTAGGTGAAACTATACATGCTAACTCTTAATAAAAAAGTGTGTCTAGAACTCTAGATTATTTAATAGAGCTGAGATTTCACTCAAAAAAAAAATTGTTAAAAACATGTATCGTTTCTCTCACTGAGATATTCTGTTTTTGTTTTTTGTTTTTTGTTTTTAAGGCCGTGTTTTATCTTATCTTTTATATTGATAACAGTTTATGGTTATTGGCAGGGTGTAATTGTAACAGGCATTTGTTATTGGCTGCAAGTCTGCACTATTGAGACGAAAGGCCCAGTTTTCACAGCAATGTTCACCCCTCTAGCTCTTATAATCACAGCAATATTCTCAGCCCTATTGTGGAAAGAATCTATTTACTTGGGAAGGTTCACATTCCATTCTTTCAACTTCAAAATAATGATAATAATGATGTATCACTCACTCACACATGACAGTATGCAAAAAGATTGGGATGAATTTATTATAGACCATTCAATCTCATATAATTAAAACTAATATATATATATATATAGGTGCATCTTGTGTCCAATCACTAGATATAAAATTTTGTCCAGCATTATAACTATGTATTTCGGAGATCAATACATAGTTATAACAATAAAATTGTACTTTTTTCCACTCTGCACGTCCGTAAACAAGTTCATGAAGAGAGGGAAAAAAAAAATGCAGCTTTAACATCATAACTATATATTTCCTGGAGTACATAGTTATAATGGGGTAACTGGACAAAACCTTATATCCAGTGACTAGACAAAACCTTATATCCAGTGACTGGACACCCAATTTTTCATATATATATAAATAATTTTTAACTCCAGTATAAGAATAAAAGATTTCACTCTCACTTCAATCATTGATATCCGTGTATTTGATTATTGTAATTTATTGAATTATATTCATTAAGTAATTATGATCCCTAGGAAATTAATAGTTAGATACACGGAGATCAATTGTTGAGATGAGAAGTAACATTTGTTATTCTTACACCGAGGCCAAAAGATCTTTAATATATATATATATATATATATATATATATATATATATATATATATATATAGGGTCATGATCATTTTACATGGGTGGTGTGTGTGTGTGTGTATGTGTGTGTGTGTGTGTGTGTGTATATATATATATATATATATATATATATATATATATATATATATATATATATATATATATATATATATATATATATATATATATATATATATATATATATATATATATATATATATATATATATATATATATATATATATATATATATATATATATATATATATATATATATATATATATATATATATATATATATATATATATATATATATATATATATATATATATATATATATATATATATATATATATATATATATATATATATATAGTGTAAGTTACACTTTCAATCTTGTCCGTTGATCTCACTTATATCTAAGGGCTCTAAATTTTTAGTAACGTGAGTCATTGGATACAAGTGGATCAATGGTTAAGATTGAGTGTAAGACTTCTACTCTTACACCGGTGTAAGATGATCCTGCCCCTATATATATATATATATATATATATATATATATATATATATATATATATATATCATTAATTCTCATTAAATTTTAACCGTTAGATGCATGAAAATCAACGGTTAAGATTTGGTGTAAAAGTAATAATTCTTACACCGGTGTAAATTGATCCTATCCAAAATATATATATATATGATGAGGGTTAAATTAACAAACTTGATGAGGGTTAAATTAACAAACTTTATTATTTTACAAATTACACTATGTCTTACCGGTAAGACTTCACTTAAGAGTGTCTTACCGATAAGAAATAGTGTAATTTGTAAGAATTTATAAATAAAAAATTTATAAATATAATCTTTATATATATATATATATATATATATATATATATATATTGTCAGGATTATTTGATATTTGTGTCAAATTAGAAAGTTTAACTCCAGAACTATTAATTTCCACGAATTTAATTATAGTAATTTATTGAAAATTAGTAATTAGTTAATGGGTCAACCAAATAAATTATGACCATCTAATTCACGGGAATCAATGATTTAAATGGAGTGCCAAACTTTTTAGTTTAAGGCGGATGTCAAATGATCATTCCATATGAAAAGTTAAATCTGATTTAATTTAGTATATGATAAGAAAAATAAAGAGGTTCATTGTATTTTTTTTTCATTAATTATATATGGCAGTATTGGTGGCACTGTTTTGTTGGTGGTTGGACTCTACAGCGTCTTGTGGGGAAAGAACAAGGAAAGTGTAAATAGGGAAAACTATGAAGCTGAACATGCAAAAGAGGAAACCAGATTGGAGTGCATTATACAGCACTGACTGATTAGACAAAACGAAGCAAAAGATGTCCCTCCCATGTTGAATGCCCTTTTATGCATCTTTATAGTATCATGTGTATATCTTGTCAACTTTTAACCCGCTTTTGTATTATTATTATTATTTTCTCTTTTCCTAGAGAACATTGGTAATTAATATCTAAATTAAATATTGTTTTTTGTTTTGCAGTTGAATTCAATTGTTTAAAGTTATCTTTTCAAAAATTATAAATATGGTTCAGTTGATAATTTGAACTAGTGTAAACAAAAGGGTCACGTAATCAAACGCTTAAAAAGTTTATAAACATCTCGTAAGAGAAAGAATATATATCTTTTAAAAAAATGTGTTCCACAATAAAACAAAGACAACAAAATATTTTTGGTAATTATGTTGCGAAGTATGGTTGTTTCGACTTTCGATTACCAAAAATAAGGTGAAAAATGTGAAGACTTATACTGCAAAGATACCATATACATATTTAGAATGATCTACACAATATATTGATTTAATTTTTATAATTGTTTTTTAAAAAACTTAGTTTATTTGATAATTTGTTAATATTTTATTAGATAGTATTATAAATATTTATACCAATAACGATCATTTGTGCTAAGTTTTATGTATATATTATGGGTGGAGCGGTTACTTAGAATAATTGAAAATCTATGATGTATTTTGTTTATATTCGAAGCGAATTAACGTGTAGGCATGCATATATTCATCAACACATATTGAATTTTCGTATAATATTTTTGAAATTAATTACTGTGCTCTGATATTTATCTAGACTAATGAAGATGCTCTTACAAACACAATCATTATTATGCGTACTACAATCATATTAATTAGGCAGGGCCCCTAAATTCATTTCTTTTGGAGGTGACTTTTTCAATGTGCAGAAAACAAGACAAATCGAAATCCGTTTACCAATATTACTCATGAGTGTTTAACTGTTTATGACTAGGTGCTTAACCTGTAATTGATATTTGTTGAATTATTGCATTGTTATAGTTACATATATAGTTAAGTGCTTCTAACTGTTAAACTTAGTTCAGTTTACTTAATGGTTTAAACTCATTTGTCCTCCATGCACTTGAGTACTCAACTCATTATAGAAGCAATATGGAGGAAAAGAAACTTATCATACTTGCGAATTATGATGATATGTTATTGAAAAGAGCTGTGAGGGCTGTGTTCCTTTCCCTGTGTTAGAGAAGTATATAAATCGTTGATGAACCTTCACTTAATAATTTAAGTTTTTGAGTTGAATTGATTCTTTACGTATATCCAGAGCCTAATGTTCATAACGTTACACCTTGCAACATCTCATTAATCATTTAGCACATACAATTCATAATGGAATCCAATGGCTTGGTTCAATTGGGTTCTACATGCCACTATGCCACATATATAATGGACTCTATAGTACTGCTAGCACAGACAGCTTTCAGTGTCACACGATTTCGTGAAGATTTGAAATCTCATCTAATGGAATGAGATGAAACAAAAGACAAAGAACAATGTGTCTTCTATCATTCTCAGTTTATCATTAAAATAAAAAATTCATAATAATTTTCTAAAGAAATGTCGTAAGACACACTACCTGAAGGCGAAACAGCAATGAAGTACATGAGAATTTGAAAGAGTTATGAAGCAGCAATAGAGTGTAGAAGAAGAAGGCGAAACAAAGCAAGAAGAACAGGTCCACTTATGATGAATCTTCACATGTTGGAGGCTCTATTCCAGTAACCAAGCATAAAAAACAATTAATAAGTATATTTAACCGTGTGAAGATGTGATATTAATTTTAATGTCATGATACTAAATGCAACAAATGTGATTGATGCTAAGGGGGTGTATTGGATTAGGATTTTAAAAGATTTTTTTTTAGATAACAAATCTTATAGACTTTAAAAGAGTATTCAGAATTGGAAATATTTTAAAGACTTTTTTTACCATCAAAATTTCGTAAGATTGGATTTTAAAGACTTTTAATAGAATTTATAAGATTTGAAAGGACAATATGAATTTTTAACAAACATTCACAATTACAAAAGTCAATCAAAAAAGCTAACAAAGAAATGCAGTGATATTAATAAAAAAAAGTTAAACGTAATATAATTTTCTCAATTAGTAAAATTCATGATAAATTTTCGTTTGGAATTTTTTGCAATTGATCTTGTAAACCTTAGTATTTTTGTTCTACGTGATGAGAGTTTTCTAACCATATATCATATGCATGTTTTAATTGAGTATTCCAAGAAAATTTCGAATCTGAATTTCTGGGTTGTATTACAAGAAAGTTTAGAAAATTTCTCAAATTATTTTCAATCGATATATTGAAATCTTAAATTGCTTTGGGGGTTTTGAAAAACAACTTTTTAGTTATATATTGACACAAAAATTGTTTGAGATCGTTTTCTATATAGCGAAGGAATTTCGTTCATGAATGTATTATTATGAAATATAGGATTCATATTATGAAAGTTTCAATCTTTCTTTAAATCGATCTTGTTTCATTGATGTAAAATGAATATTAGTTGGGGTTTTTTTGTTCCCTTGATCTATGTTATGTTGTTTTTAATATAAAAATCACACATTTTCTTACCAAGAAAAATCATGACCAATAGATAGAAAAATCATTTTTAAACTTTCAAAAATTCTCAAAAATTGTTTCAAAGTCTGCTATTTTTTAGATGAATTAGATTAAAATCTTGTTGGGTTGTTGTTTCTTGGTTATTTTGTGATGAAAATCGCTCAAAAAACTGTTGTTTTAGAGCTTTGACGAAGCTCCCATGACGAAACTCGGTTTCGAGAGGGTCAACCAATCAAAAGAAGAAGAAGACACTGCAATAGAGAAATCTCAAGAAATCCTAGGGGTTATGGTAAGATTGTGAGAGAGACATCCTATTTATATTTCTTACTAAAAAGTCTCACGAAATCTACACCAATAGAAAATCTATTAAAATCGTAAGATTTTTGAATACCACAAGATTGTTTTTCCTTTGTTTAAAATCTTGATTGAATACCAACGGATTTGGACAGACTCTAAAATAATCTTTTAAAATCCTAATGAATACCACATGACTTTTTTTCAATCCTTTAAAATCCTAATCGAATACCAATGGATTTTTTTGTCCAAAAATAATCCATTAAACTCCTTTGAAATTCCAATCAAATACATCCCGCTAAATGTATATTTGGCTACTCCTTCATTTGTACAAACGGACGAAACTCAACCCCCCTTCTCCAGACCTAAACATTGAAGCTCAATAACTTGATGGTGACCATGATGATATTGTACCAGTCAAATGACATTGTGTATCAATGTATGTTCGCTTTAAGATAACTTTATTTACACAATGTTTGTAGTACTAATTGATTAATTTGGAATGTTGGATTTTAAATTTTTCTTATCTATTTGTGTTACATTATTGCAAGCTTCGTTGACAAATATTAAGATAATTGAAATGCGAATAGAAGTGATAATGAGGTTATAAAAATGTCATTCTTAAGCTCACATAACTTAAATATTAAATAAGGCAGTATCTTAAAATGTCATCTTGGGGCGGAGAACCCTTGTTGATTTCGACCCAATAATTTTCGTCGCCCGCTTGAGCATGAAGTTTGTGTTAGGAACTCGATTCCCTCTATCTCGGTTGGGACAAGTCAGTCCCTCAACTCGGCTTCTATAGCCTTCTCGCGGAAGTCAATCAACAAGATCCTGGATCTCGAACTTCGGCAATCTGAACTCGGCCTGAACTTCACCATGTCGGCCTTTGCGCAGCAGAAATAGAAAAAGCAAAGAAAAATACGAAGGAGAGAGAGAAAGAAATTCACATACAAATATGTTTAACGTGGGAAAACCTTCCTCAATATAAAGAAGTAAAAATCCACGGGTCCTAGTCCAATACAAACGTCCCCTGATATGCGTCCAGCATATGATGCTTTCTAAGCTAAAAAAAGCAAGAAATTAATCATAAATGAGTAAAAATAGTTCATAAATATTAGAGATGTTGATTATTCCTTCTAAGTCATTCTCTCACTCAAATCATTCATTTTGACAGCAGAAACATCAAAAAAAGAAGTGAAAATAGAGAAGTCCACAGTGCAAGTCCCGTGCGAACCGCGCGGTTACTGGCGCGAACCGCGCCATAAGACCAGTTGCTCTCTGTTTCTCCATGAGATAGGCGTTATTTGCACGGGCGATAGTTAATTTTCTTAATCTTATGCGAATTGTACTGAAAAAGGCCCAATTGAGGGTAATTTTTCGAAGATGGTTTTCCAAAACCTAATAAAAAGATCATAAACACAGAAAGGAAGGGACTTTTGGCAAAAAGAGAGAAATAATACAAAGGAGAGAGAGAATTCTTGAGAGTTCTTGGAGCGTTTGAAGAATCTCACGATCAAGATTGAGGATCGTCATCATATTCTTCATCATTAGGTTCTGAATTTTCTTTTCTTTTATATTGAATTCGTCAGACATGAATATGTCTGGCTAGTTTCTAATATTGTGGTAAGGGTCACAACCCTTAATATGAACCCCTTGTAGTTTGGTTAAATTTATATTTGTTTATTTAAATTGAATTTATCTTGTCTTGTTCTTCATCTCATAATTCTTCTAGAACCGATCAATCTATTAGGATTGCGAGGGTTAGGTTTTTCAATAGGGATATTAGGATTCTAATTCCTGACAAAAGGTAAGATAATTGTTCATGTATGCACTAGGGATAGGCTACATAAACCGCAAACATTAAAGATTTACTGATTCTAAGGCTTAACTTGAAAAGGGGTTTCTAAGGGATTAGGATTTTAATAGAGTTAATAAGGTTAAAGTAATTAAGGAATTAGGGTTTAACCAATTAAATAAAAGATAGTGAATCGTTTGATCAATTGAATAATTAAATGTAAACGTTAATCCAAGTTACAAGGTGGGGATCATAAAGGTGTTTGTTTTTCTTTACCGCAATATTTTCTCAAATATCTTTTGAACCAGTAATCTTTTGTTCTTGAGTTTAAAAAGAATCT